ATGAGCTTTGCAGCAATGAAATTCGTTACCTTAACCACAAAAAACCAGAAACATTTGGTGCAACTGTTAGAACACTTTTGCACCTAATTTAAAAAAAAAGAAAAAAAAGAAAAAGGTGGTTTCCTCTCTTCCTCCCCCCTCCTCCCCGCCTACTCCTAATCCCATGCTAACACCTTTCGAAAAGGCTGGGGTGAGCAGCTTTCAAACTGAAAGAGCAGGGAAGGGGGGAAGATATCAGATCTCCAGACAATGAAATAAAGCAGCTATCTCTCACATCCTGCAGCGCTCAGGCTGAGGTCATAAGTTAAACAGGACATCAGAATAGGTGATGTAATTTGCTTATTTAGGATCAGAGCATTCAGTGAAGTGAAAGAGACAACCTATTTGAATTTGCAGATAATCCTATAATAAATGCAGGGCTGTTCAGCTGCAGAAACTGCAGATGGAGTCTGAGATTTTTCTTCCTGTGCACATTTATTTTTGCAGGGGATATAATTGCAATCATTTTTCCTTGCAGGAAAGCCTTGAAACCTCACCTGGGATCAGCCTCCCATTGCGTTAGGTACTGTTCAAACAGGGTCCCTGCCCCGGACAGCTTAAAGGCTAAAGGGTCAAGTCAAACAGAGGGTGGGAAAGGAAAGAGCGGCCCAAAGGAGGCAGGGAAGTGGCACAGCCACCCCGCAGGACCCAGGTCCCCCAGTCTACTCCCTGTTGTACAAGAGCAAGGCTTCGGACTCCAAGTTGAGCTGAGCAGCAGTTAGGCTTACAAGTAAAGCACGACTCAGCTTTTCTGAAGATGGACGGGCCCTCCTGGCTCCAAATCTATCTGCAGACCCTCAAACCAGCAAGGATTTTACAGCAGAGTTATAAACCTTTAACGACGAGGTTCTATAACAGGAGTAATTTATCAGCGATGCCGTACAACACTGAACACGCTGTTTTCCCTTCAAACCGTCGTGACAAACACTTGCGATATAAAGATTGCAAGCTAACAACTTGCGCTGTTTATCTCCTCAGTTTATCACCATTCAAACCGTAATTTCACCCTGTCAGTGCCGCACTGAGCGGCGTTACTTACAACCAGCCCCTTTCCTGAATTTATCTTCTTCAACGCAAGTGTTTTTTCAGTGACAAGAAGTTGGCTCGGCCAGACGCCATACCTTGGCCAAAGGCAGCAAAATGTCCTGGGTAGCTCAGGCTCTCCGACAGAGAGCAGGAGGTGAAGAGGCATTGCGCACACTGCCCGCTCAGTGGATGCAGTCTACACCTGCTCCAGAGGGATCTTCAATCAGACGGCACAGAAAAGCAAGATGGAAAAAGCCAAGTCAATCATCGAGGTAACATCTGTCAAAACACGACTGTTTTCAAGTATTTCTTTACGAGACTGGAATGGAGGGTGTGCCCTCCTGCTGTCCTACCAGGCCATACCCGGAGGTCAAGGCATGCCCCACGCACCCACACCGCAGCTGAGCAAGGGCGGCTGCGGCACCAGGACGGTGGGAGAAAACCTCCTCCTTGAATGTATGGACCTGTAAGAAGAGCCAAATCTCAACCCTGATGTTTGTATCCAGAACTGTAGCCATCCAGCAGGTCACCTTCTTTAGCAGGTTTTGGGTTGTTTCTTTCTTAAATGCAAGTTCTGTGTTAGAACTTCCTCCAAGTTGCCAAGACCAGGGGATCACTGACCTTCTGCTCAAGCCAATTTGGTAGCCAACCCCAAGGCTGCTCACAATAGCCCTTGACAACTCTACAAAGATCTTCCTGACCAGTGTAAGGGACCAGTGTGCTGAATTTATCACGTAAGAATACCTGCCAGCAGGCATTTCACATCACCCCTTTCCAAAGGAGCTACTTTTGGATATCTGAAAAGAAGAAAAGCTGTATACAAGATATTCAAATGTGTGCGGTGGTGACATTTACATTTCAAATAGAGGGAATGGGCTTATTTCAAAGATTTTAAGGCTAGGAAACATATGACTTCCTGGGGGGGGGGGGCAGCACTGCATGTCACCAGAAGACAGAATTTATCTTATATTCACTCAGCCCCCCTAAAATATTCCTCATGGACAGCAACACCAGTCCTGGCTAAAGCTTCTCCACGACCATCGCAGAGTCCCTTAAGACGCAGGGCTTGGAGACACATGCAATGAGAAGACCATGCCTGGCAGGCCACAGCTGGCGCAGCCTGCAGCAGACCCATTTCTGGAGCCTTGAACCAGAGCAACCCCGTCGAAGTCCAGCACAACTGACAGCAGAAATGCCGAGAAGCCCATGGGGGAATTTCTCTGTGCACTTGCTGCTTGAAGTCAGAGAGAGGTAACTGCCATTTGCCATTGTTCTAACAGAAAAAGGCGGTATTTTGGCAGGGTTACAAAGCAAGCCCATTCTTTATATCTGCAAAAGAGAGACCGTCCATCCCCGCCGAGGGAGCTGACAGAGGAAACACATTTTACAGCAATCTTGGGTACAACATTGAACTGGGACCTATTTTTACCGTGTGCGCTGCACTACACGCATTAATTGTTACAGCAACAATATTTGCTGACATATTGACTCAAATCATTTACAGAATAGAAGCCCAAGAGACAAAACAAGCCCTTGCTCCACGAGACAGAGAGAGTCAGGCAGGATGCCACATTGCTTCCTGTAACACACAGAAAACGCTTATCTACAATGGATGATCGCCACCGATAACCCATCTCCAGAGCTCTGGCAAGCGCAGCAGGGCTGTCCTTCGCTGCTGGGGCCGTGGTTCAGACACCGGCCGGCCGAGCTCCGCGAAGGCGAGGAAGGAGAGCGGCTGGGGTTACAAGGGAGCGTTACATGGCCTCCTCCTCCTGCCCCACATGGATGCAGCAGCACTCGGGTGTTTCTGGTCCCCAGCCTGCACGCCATCAGCGCTCCCCTGGACGGGGAGAGCCGAAACCCTCGCTCGCCCATTAGCAATACACATTTCTGCAAGGAGGTGGCAGATCTCAACGTTTGCCAGCCCTGAGGTCTGTAACCCGGTTAAAGACCAGACCAGGCAGCATGGAAGGCACAGCTCAGCAGTTTCAGGATCTAGCCTAGTTAAGCACAATTAGGTCTGCAGAGCATTGGGATGTTTTGGAAAGAACTTGCAAATGAAGCACTGAAGTCTCTCATGGCCGCAGCGGCCCCCGAACACCCTTGCAAGGGCAGAAATTTGCCATTTTTCATGCGGGCAGTCAATGATCTCTGCATGCACGCAGTGCACTCCACCCCAGGCGCTGCCCACCGCTCCCCCCTCGCGCGCAGCCCTGCCGAGCGCTGCTGTTCCAGCACCCTGGGGGATGCACAGCTGTAAAAGCTTGGATTCTCCTCGAGAGCAACAGCAATGTATTAGCGAAACTTGTACAGTCTGTAGAGGACAGCTGAACAAAATCAGCTCCAAAATGCCAAAGCCTTAAATGTAGGTAAATACATGATTCAGAACACAGAGCAGTTTGACAAATAATAGCATCTTCCCATGCCTAGCGGTATAAAGCACGCAGCTGTTCTACCACCACAATTTACAGGGAAGGCATTTCTCCTGGAAGTAAGAGAACACTTAGTATATATTCCTAGCCAGATTGATTACCCCTATTTATATTGTAAACGAAGACAGCGCATACTAAAAAGCCATATAGTTAAACAGTTCCAGACGCCAGATCATGGGCAAGGGGTCAGTTTTATATCGTATGCTGCAGTCGTCTGCATTTATTACAGATATCACAGAGTTTTCTGCAGCTTGGTTTTTTGTGTGTGTGCTTATTCTTGTGGTATTTCAACAACTGTCAGGAGGAACACTGCTATTTTATGGGAACTCAGGGAATTGGAGAATACATAAGGTTTTTTAAAGGTTTTTTTTTTAAACAGCAAAGATGCCAGCGTGCCACTATATAACAACTGCAATCTGTTCTCGGAACAATAAAACCACAAGACTGAACACAATATCTTATATCTGAATATATACGTCTATCCTGAAGTAAGATCAACCCATATTATGTGGATCCAATCCGCATGGTGTTATGTCATTCTCCTCTTGTAGGCAACCTGCACAGCTGGACAACTCTCATTTTCCTTACAGATACAGTTTCAACAACCGACACCAGATATAAGCAGAGGTCTAGAAACGCTCTCTGGTGTGTCTGCTCACAAGTCGTTGCTATTCCTACACCACTTGTGCAGTTCCACCAGGCCAGGAGACCCTGCGAGCTCGAGCAAAAGGCACCGAGCCAGACTTCACTGAAGGGTTCAGCTGGCTTCTTTATTGCTAAGGGAAAGCTCCTTTTCTAGCCAGATTTGCAGTTTCTTCTTTTTCTCTCTTTAAACACTGATAAGATGAGAGATGTTGAAGTTGCAAGTTGGTCTATATTACAGTTTTTGAACGGATAGGTTTCAGCGTGTTACTGTAACAAATACAAGAGTGAAATTGGAAGAGATGGAGATTCGAGCTAACACAATTAAAATTTCTTCTCAAAAACAATCCACAGATATCCAGTGCCAAATACAATCTGGAGTCATCAACTAGCACGGACATGAATTAACCTAATAGCTTCTGAAAAAAATACAATCCTAAAAAAATCCTCTTATTAAAGTAATTAAGTGTTATCAGAATCACAGAGCCATAATTAAACATGGTTTATAATTAAAACAGCATGTGTCCTAGACAGAGAACACAGCAACAAAGAGAGTATAACAACCGTGGTAGTCAATGCCAAAACACATGACAAGTACCAAAAATCAGAAAACCAGCAGAGTTTCTAGCAAGCTGCAGATGCAGTGACTCTGCTCTTCTGACTTAGTCATCAACACTTCTGATGGATGTTAGCACGCTCAAAACTCCTCACAGCTTTGCGAGATGTTGCCAAAGTTCAAGCAGAAGTCTTGGGAACCAAGTACAAGACACTGAGTGCAAGACCCAAGAAACTGAAGCAGTGCCTGCTGTGCACGGAACGCTGAGCGAGCATGAACTTTAACTCAAACAAGCCTTGTCCTACCTGGCAGCGGCTGAAGATATCTGCCAGGGATACTTGAACGTTGAAGTGCTTCAGAACCTGCAGGGCCTGTTCTTTTGCCTTTTCTGAGCAGTTCACAGAGAAACACCTTCCTTCTGCTACCTGGGACTGCAGCTTCAGAAGACAAGTTGTAAACAAAAAAGACAATAAATGAGGCACTCTGTGCACCACGATCCATGGGATTTTTCTTAATACACTTAGTTTGGTTTGAATTACAAATAATATTTGGAGTTAGTATGTGTTCACAGTCTAAATTTTGATCTAAACAAGCACAATTGGTAATTAAACACTTAGCCACTGCTGCAATTGCTCTGAGACTACTGAAGCACTGCAGCGTCTTAGATATATATAAACAGGATTGCCAAAGTCCCCTTGAACTTAGAATTTGGTGGTGTGGTACTGACAGGGGTAGCAAGAGGAAACTGAATTTAATCACAGCTTTCACATAAAACCTGGCCAGATCACACACAGCACGTAAAAGCACAACAACGGAGATAATGTCCGGTGACAGTTTTACCACTTCAACCCTTCTGGTTTATACACTGTTTCACCTGGAGTTTTGAAGTGCTTGATGTGGACAATCCCTCGATGTTTGTTCCACATTTAGCAGAGAAATCTGTATCTGGGAACAAGCACTGGGAAGCTCCAGACGCGTCTTTATGAGCACGATGAGTACTCACAGTGAGGTGGGATCGGCTACAGGCAAGTCAAGGAGCCTGGCAGAGACATCCTGTCCTCGCATAGGGCATACAAAAGCAAAGCAACAAAGGGAACCAGACATTTCCCAGGACAGTATCGTACACCGGGAAGCAGTTATTTTCCTTTTGCAATTCCTACACAGTATTTTGAAGTTAAAGCTTTGCCAAGTAAGATTATGCTGGACGCTGAATTGCCTACTACATCAGCTGTAGGCTCAAGGAGCCACAGTCTGGATAAGGAACCTGTAGCGTGGCACGGCTGCACTTGCCTCACGGTGTCTCACCATGGGGGTAGTTTTCTTCAATGTTCAGCTATTATGTAGGAAATCAGCAACCTACATTCTGCAAATACTCCAACTAGCTACTTGAGTAGTTGGGAGCTTTTATATCAATAGCTTGTAACAAAGAAGTCCTGTGCTCTGGCTCATGTGTATAATCCAGAAGAGTAATCACTCTTCCAAATGAATTTTTGGGTAATAACAAAGTGCAAAGGACCTGCAGCAGGCACCACACCATTGCAACCACTGACTTGACGGGTTTGGCATATTCCCACCAACACTGTTTTGAAGCGTGTCTCATGAAGGGCTCTGAATGTCTGGGTTTTGCTTTGGTTTTTTTGTGTATCTGTAGGAACACAAAACGTCTACAGCTTCCACTGGGACCCACGCTTGGTGGCTTCCATTCTCTCCCTTCCAAGCCTGAAGAAACGTCTTTAAGTGTTGAAACTACATCAGTGTGGAGCCAGTCAGTAAACAAGAATCTTTGTGATAAAAAGCATGGGAATTGAGCTGCCTTTCACCTGCCAGTCAGGCCAAACAGAAACACTTTGTTCTGTATTGCTTGGCTTGATTTCCACCCCTGCCCCCAATGGAGAGCAATCGCTCTCCCCCCTGACGCTGGGCTGAGTATAAAAATTTCACCTCAAGCTTTGGTCATTCAGAACAGCAAACCTCTCAAGACTCTTAATGTAGTTTCTAGTGCAAAAAACATGAAAAAGCCAAGCCAGCTGTTGCATTCACATCTGACTTTTCCTCTTGTCTACACTGCACATCCCAGACCATGCAATGATACAATGCCAGAAAAATGCCAGAAGCTCTGAACACTTACAGTCTGATATGGGAGTCCAGAGGTTAAAATGACTCTTCCTTCCTGTCGGGCAATCTGGAAAAAACAGTAAAAACCATAATGAACATGGGCTGAAGTTACACTGGATTTGAGTTTTCCTTTCAGTCAAAGCAGAGAGAACATGAACTGGCGATACCGAGTCTTTGTCTCCAGTGTCGACATACACTAGGCCAAGAGTAGCTGAGTCTGGTTCAACAATACGCTTTTGACAGCGACAGCAGCTCAAGGTATCGCTCGCTCAGTTCACGTCCCTGCTCTGCCAACACCCGCCTTGCCTCACGTGTGCTGGAACAAGCTACTTGTGCATCTGCACTGCAGATGGCCCAGGGAACCGATCCACCTTGAAATAATCCTATCAAAAACATTTCTATCTTTTTTTTTTTCCCCCTTAACCCAGACTATTTCTGTTTCCCCAGTCTGGTTCACAAAGAAGCAAGCAGTTCTGCTCGCACAGCAATGCACAGGGGAGAAAGGAAAAAATAATCTAACCAGGTAATTCCAGAAAAAAAATGAACCATTAAATGTGTCTGCAAACTTCGTAGACGTGAAGAGAGCAACGTTCACTCCACTCCTTGAAGATAAGACGGCGTTATTCTCCCAGCAGCCCAACAGCAGACATACAGAAATTATGCACCCTTTCCAGGCTGCAAAGAACGTCTCCATTAGCGTTTATCATCTCCTGACTTGCAACCCTGCGCTTTCATCAGAGGGCTTGTTCTTCAAGGGAAAGGTCTGTGCTGAATTAGCAGGGGACTCATTACGCACACTTCTGACCTTCGCAATAGAGTAAGAGACACTTCCAAATGGTTTGGTGCCAAAAGGAGATACTAAATCTGTGATTAAATGACATCCCGTCCTTCCGTCCCTCTCCTGTAGGAGAGAAATGGTTTCATGGCCATAGCAATGGATTCTTATGTGAACCAGCACTTCAGCTCTGCTTGTGCTGACAAGAGATTGGCACTTCGAGGTAGGCATGAGGTTATTTCTCTTCTCTGGCTTGGATTCTGTTGGAAGCCCTTGCATTTCTCACTGTTTCCAGATGTGTGTCGTGGAGGTCTCTCTTCTGGATCAGCGGTTCGGAAGCTCTCTCTGGATCGCTCTTCAGCCCTGGCAGGAGGACACATTACGGACCAGAGTGCTGCGGCACTTCCCAGACAGTCTGACATCACCAAGCACAGCCAGGGAACAGCGAGAAGAACAAACCAAGGTTTTTAAACTCTGTCTAGGACAGCTATTCTCTTAAGACCCACTGGACCTATGGCAACATGAAGCAAGGGGGAGAAGGCTCTGAAAGCACAAACTCCCCATGCGGTCAGCTAAGCAACCATTCTTCTCCTCTCCTGACCTTTCAGGTAGCCGCTTCCCTCCCTTTTTTGTGGAGTCAGTCTTTGGCTGCCAGTTCTGCACTGAGAAAGTGATTGGTAACAACTTCTAAAGCATCTTCCTAGAGGAAAATTACCGGTTTTCTTTCAAAATCAACCCTCTCTCTCAATAAAGGAAAAAATCTCCAAGAACAGCAGCAGAGCACCTTGTGCTGCATGCAATCCTGCTGGAGCAGTCCAGGTTCCCGAACAGCCCTGCCAACAAACTACCCACACGGCACGTTAGCGACTAAAGTCCAGTAAGGCAACAGCAAAACTTCACCACAGTGACTTGCCGACAAGGGAAAAGAGATGTGAAATTCCTTCAGACCCCTCTGTGCTTCAGGGTAAGTGAGGATTTCACAGATGGAACACTCCATTCTGAGTTCCTGCATCCAGGGTTAATTAGTTCAAGCTTGATAAATCCCCTTTATCTAAACGGCTCTGCAGAGACAGGCAAAGAACATCAAATAAAAAGGAGAAAAGCAGTAACTCTTCCAGCATGTTTTTCCACCTCTGGAACAAAAACTGGGAGAAGCACGCAGAGCCAGAAAAGCCACGTGATAGCACACATCTGACTGAAACCATGGAGGATACGTGCTGGAGAAAAGGGCACAATTCCTTCTTTTCCTCTGAAAGAAATAATGGAAGGCAGTGCTGGGGCCATCCGGGAGATGTGCGCTCGGAGATGCAAATGTACATGTTGGGGTGGGTGTCAGGGACTTGTGCTCCATCCCAAGTGCTGCAGAGAGGGCATTGGCCTCAGTTTCACAATCTATTAAAAAGATAATATCAACTTCCTCTGGAAAAGGCTTAGACCTTCTGGATAGAAAGCACTCCCTAATAACTTGGTATTATTATTTAGCCCTTAACGTGCCTGTCTGTTCAGCCAACTTTCATCTTGCAGAGATGAACGAACTCAAATGAATTACTACAAGAGAGACCTGGAAGGGCAACGACTGATGAGAGAGGGCAGAGAGAGGCTCTATGTTTTGAAGCCAGCCCCAGCGGCAGAATGATTCGTGACAACCTAAGGGATCCTGAATTAAGGCCAAAGAAGGTTTCAAGAAAAAGCAGCACAACGCTGTAGATTTGTATGTAGATATGCAGATTTTAAATTTAAAACTTGCCAAGCCTGTGCATGGCATACCTTGGGCAACGCTACACATCCTTGGAAGAGCAAACTGCAGTGCTCCCTTTGCCAGGCGGCACGCCAGGAAAAGCTGTGACCTCTTGCAGTGGCAGAGGAGAAGGAGTGACCCTGAGCCTGGGCCAGCAAGGGTCCCCCCGTTCAGACAAAAAGGGACAGAAAGCATCTGCTCCAGGATGTGAGCTGGAAAAGCACCAAGACAAGGATCTACTAGAGGAGTGGATCACAAACCTCCATCCAACCCTGAAGCCCCCTACCCGTTATCTCAGTAGTGCACTTGCTGTACTGTACTGCTGGTATTTCAACCCTAGGCTTCTCTTCAGCATTCCTGAAAACCATAAATTGCACAGAATTATTCCATGATTTCGTAACGTGGCCTTAACTACCAGACCAAAACCATCCCCCCAATTTTGTTTCTTAAAGCAGACCCATTTGTATCAAGGTCTCCAATGAAAGACATTCTCCTCCTGCTGACCAAATATCACAAGCAAAGCCTTGATTTTAAAGGCAGAACAGTTCTTCATCCGCCCTCTGTGAATTTACTCTGCAGACTGGTGGGGAGGTAAACGGTCTAGCAAACCTGAAGAATGTCATTTACATCAAAAATATGGAAAAAGACATTCAAAGCTGAGACAAGATCAGAGATTAGATTCCCCCATTACACGAAGCTCTGCTCACTGCAGCATTAGAGGTCCCCTTTATGTCCCATGGCTCCAAACCAGTCCAGGGCAATTTAGATCCAGGTACACATTGCTCCAACTTGCTCCTGAGATCCATCCAAGCCTGGCCCTCCTCTCCGACTCATTGGCTCACTGGGAGTTTTGGGGGAGTAGGTGTAACCTTGCAAGGGAACCTTCTACACCATGGGAGCTGCAGGAAGCCAGTTCTGCCAGCCTTCTGGTTATTACCTGACTTCAAGAGATACCAGGTTTGCCTTAGCGTGCAAATTATTCTTAGAGATGAGGATGATCTTGAAGACCAAGAGCACAGTCCATTAAAAAATAAAACAAACCAACCCACAACTCAACTGAAGGGGCTTCCACCAAGTCTCTTAGAAATTAGTGACCTAAGAAACTACCAACATTTTCTTAGAAGCTTCTGCTCCGCTCCTGAAGTACAACATTGCAAGATCTACTGTAGTCAATTCAGGATGGTGGGTGATCCTTTAAGGTTAGCATGAGAAGCATCCCACTGCTTTACCTGATTCTGCAAAATTGCAGAGAAAAGAGGAGCACTCACTGCAACTTTTCCACCTCCTTCCAATTATCCATCTAGAAGGCCCAAAAGATAGGTTTGAGATTTTCTGCAAAGAGAAGTTTGCAAAAGACAAGCTGGAAGACGTGGCTAGAAACACAACAGGCATAGGACGTGATTTAAGTACAGAAAAATGTATTAATTGGAAATAACATGTTGCTTACAGGAATAAGTGCAAATGCAAAGGGTGGCTCACCCCAGTAATGGCAGTTGTGCACGCAGAAGGATGACGCATAAGACAGATCAAATCTCTGCGTTCTTTACCCAATGGAATCATTCTTTACCTTGGGATGGAGTCAGAAGCCCCTGGTGAGGAAGGGCTGGATGCATACAGCTCTTCTCAAGAGAGACCTCCCTGTTTTGCTGCACGGCGTGGAGCCAGGCTTGGGCCAGTCCCTCTAGAAGGGCTCACCCAAAGCCCTCCAGAAGGGCCTCTTCCTAAGGTGCAAGACCGGAGCAGTGCTGTCAGGCAAGGACAAGTTTCACAGAATCCCAGACTGGTGGGGGTTGGAAGGGACCTCTGCAGATCATCTAGTCCAACCCCCCTGCCAAAGCAGGATCACCCAGAGCAGGTTGCACAGGATGGCATCCAGGTGGGTTTTGAATCTCTCCAGAGAAGGAGCCTCCACAACCTCTCTGGGCAGCCTGTCCCAGTGCTCGGTGACCCTCAGAGGGAAGAAGTTTTTCCTCATATTGAGTCAGAATTTCCTGTGTTTGGAAACACAGGAAATGGGCACAAACCGGACACTGAGCACCACTGAGAAGAGTCTGGCCCCATCCTCTTGACACCCACCCTTTAGATATTGATAAGTATTGATGAGATCCGCTCTCAGTCTTCTCCAGGCTAACCAGCCCCAGCTCTCTCAGCGTTTCCTCATGCCAGAGATGCTCCAGTCCCCTCCTCATCCTCGCAGCCCTCGGCTGGACTCTCTCCAGTAGTTCCCTGTCTGTCTGGAACTGGGGAGTCCAGAACTGGACACAGTGCTCCAGATGTGGCCTCACCAGGGCAGACTAGAGGGGGAGGAGGATGTCCCTTGACCTGCTGGCCACACTCTCCTCAATGCACCCCAGGACACCATTGGCCTTCTTGGCCACGCGGGCACACTGCTGCTCATGGAGAGCTGCTTGTCCACCAGGACTCCCAGGTCCTTCTCCGCAGCGTTGCTTCCCAGCAGGTCACCCCCACCCTGTACTGGTGCTGGGGTTATTCCTCCTTGGGTGCAGGACCCCACACTTGCCCTTGTTGAATTTCATTTGGTTCCTCCCCACCCAACTCTCCAGCCTGTCCAGATCTCACTGAATGGCAGCGCAGCCTTCTGCTCTGTCGGCCACTCCTCCCCGTTCTGTCTTGTCAGCAAATTTGCTGAGGGTACACTCTGTCCCCTCGTCCAGGTCAGTGATGAATAATGGGGAATTATTTGCATGGTGAATCCCCGCAGCTGTCAATGCACAGGCTGCTAAAGTCAGGTAAAGGAGCTCATCCGGCACACCTAGTACAAATTTCATCCCCCAGCTGCATACCTGCTTTGCCAAACACCTGCGTGCATTGCGCTACAGCAGCCAGGATATAAACCTAACGCGGCACAAATGTTACTGCCACCCCACGGAATAAGAAGCCTTGGAAAATGACTCGGTGCCTGTACTTGGACACAAAGCTGCTCTTCCCAGAGAGGCTGGTGCTCATGAACAGGGGCTAAAATGTTTCTGTAAGGATGGACTGCGAGGTCTTTGCCTTCAACACGAGGACAGATTTAACCAGAGATATTTTCAGTAAGATTTCCTACTATTTTTCCATTTTCAAAGATTTTCTGTGTCTGCACTTATGACAGATAAGTTTTAATCAGTCATTTCTCCAGTCAAGCCCTAATTAAATGTCACCATTAAATATGCAGAATGCAAACTGATGCCATCTCACAGCAGCTAAATATGGGCAAAGAGGGGAATACACTGGCTCGTGGTGTCCTGCTCCCATGGGCCAGCAAATCTGAGATCGCAGATCTGGCATGATAAACCTGCCATGACAACTGTTGTCCAAGATAAAACATTTAGCCAACAACAGCAGCACAAGAAGAAGCGGTACACAGGAAACAGACTTCAAGTTTAGCCTGGGAATGGGGTTTTTCAAACCAATTACTGCCACACGTCTTAGTCTAAATGAAAAAATAAAAATCAAAATCCATAGCTGCCCAAGCACAGCCTACAAAGCTCTCAGGCTTGTAAGTTTGATCTCAGATAACAAAGGGTGAAGGACAAGACTCATCTGCCTACCTATACTTGAAGCCACTTTAACAAGCAAGAGGAATGAGAACAGTAAGGAGCAAATGCCAGGCGATTCAGGACTTCTTGGCACAGGGAGATGTGTAATGTGGCTGATAAGTCATTTCAGTGAAAAGACTTTAATGAAGAACAAACGCTAACTCTGTACACACTGACGTGTTCCTGATGACACTAGTTTGAGACTGTGTTGGGACAACACCCAAACTCTATCCTGTGTTCGGTGACCAGGATCCAAACCCTTCTCCCGGCTTTTGCAGTAACATTTACAAGTTTTTGGGCATAGAGTGGTCAACATTCAACTTTTATTAAATCAGGACTAGCTAGATATAAAGCAGGGTGGGAGGAGTCTATTTTTATCTTTGATTATCCAAGCACAGATCAAAGGTTCTGCAATACAGTAACACTCCAAGGGCTTTTGATAGTGAAAGGATGTTTGTCCGGTCGCCATAGAGAAAGCAATGTAAAACATCCTGTCCGTGGCACGATAAGGTATCAGGATGAGAAGCGGAGACAGGGCTCTGGGGGGAGGCAGTGAGAACTAGTTTGTTTAAATGACTTGTGCAAGTTTGGCAGAGACAAGATATTAATTATTTCTGTAGAAGTTAGAGCCTGCCCAGGATTCAGGCCAAGCAGACATCTGAAGAGGAAACATCCTGTGCACCAGGCTGGGTGATCAGTGCACATTTGATAGCAACACACTGTGTGGGCCGGCTATCTCCATTTCTGGCATAGTAGAAGCATGTCTGAAATGAAGAAGCGTGTGTCTCTCCTCCAAGAGGCAGAGGGTCAAAACTGTTATGGGAGTCCAGATCAATGTTCGTTGTCCCTATGCAAGTTAAAGACTCTTCCTTTCCCAAACATTTCACTGCAAGTTGTGGCTGATCACCTGTGAGTCATCTCACAAGGTGGCAGCCAGCTAGGACATTATATGGCAAGTTTATCGTGCTCCAAGGAGCGCAGATGGGAGCTATAAGCACGCACACGCGTGACTAACCTCAGCGGCTTTCCTATGGTCATCCTCATTCTCCAGCATCCGGACATCTACACCAAGGCAGCGAAGGTAGCGCCCGAGGCCTTGCAGCATGTTATCGCAGACCACGCTGAACTCCTTTGGGGAGATGGGAGCAGGGGGACACGAGGTCTCCTTTCTGGATCCTGTGCATTGCTACAGAAAAGAAAGAGATCTGTAAGCAGCAGAACAGGCCCATTTCCAGCACATTTGTGTTTTGCTTCCCTGCATTCACCCATCATGGCAAATCCAGCTGTCCCCTTCCACCTGTATTACAATTTCCCCCATGCTCTGCAACACCCCTAGTTCCTCCTTCATGTCCTTTCTACATCGCCCCCCAGGCACTTGGGCAGGGGGTAGCACGAGATGGGGATAGTTCAGAATTAGCCATTCACTCATCTGCAGCCTTTCCCTGCAGAAATGCCAACGTGGCCTTCTGTGCTCTACACTGACACTCATTTTTATGAAGTCACAGAGACACATCCTCAAGACTGCTATTCCCCTATCCACTTAGATTGCAAATAATATACATGTGCTGAAGTTATGATTTGGGAAGGGGATCTGACAGACGGAGGGAGAAACAGGTAGACAAAGCAACCATGTCAGCTTTGTTATCTTCGGAAGTTTAAAAATAGGCAGTGCCTGAATTCTGTTTATTTTATTTCAAACTGCTGCTGCTGGGGGAGTTCCTGCAGTTGGAGATTTTTGTTGGGAGGCTCCCAGAAGTACAATAGCTAAATTCATGGAGAAGGGAAGTTATTAAGGAACCTCCAATGTTCAGGTTTGCCTCCAGGAACTTGGATCAGCTGGGATGACTGAAGGACACAGCCACCACAGTGCAGGGCTGAACGAGAGAGTTACTGCGGCACGGCAGATCAGCTCTGCAGGAGTTGACTCAGGCCTGGGAATGCCGTGGCACACCATGCAGATACCCCTGGGCTGACTGTGTGAACTAGCTCAGGTCTGAAAGCTCAATCCGTGTGATGCTGCACCTCCCAGAAGCTGGTACGTGCACCCTGAGCTCTGTAGCACTGGGTAGACTGGATTGTCACCGGCTCCTGCAAGGACCTTGGTTGATGCAGCTGTGCCCCGAGACATCGGAGTGCTGTGATAACGGATCAAGCTGAGCCTTTGGTGTTGAGGTAGCTGGAAGACCCTATGCTGCTGCTTCTGTTCAAACAGATGTAAAGGAGCAGCAGCTGGCTCTTAGCTAGTGTTTACTCAATGGCCAGCAATGTCATATGTAGCTTTTTTCTCACGTTTCATGCCAGTAGAGAGCAAAAAGCTTATAAAGGAGACTAGTGTCATTAGCCCCACTTCAGATAGTGGATCAGGAAATGCTGGGAAAGAGAGCTTGGAGTCATGCAGGATGCAGTGTCAGAAGTCTGCTTTTTTGAGTCCCAGTCCAGGTTTTACCAACTACCTCTCGGTTAATGAATCTGACTGTACAGAACACAAAGATGACCTGTGAGTTCACAAGGTAATTCAAGCCTGAAGTACTTACTTTTCCCATCTCAGCAGCAGCCAGTCAGATCTGCTGTAACATACAATATTCCCAGGCACACAGAGTGCTTAGGAGACTACTGAGCAGCTTTGTGTTTTACTGACTGACTAAGACTAATGGGATATTGTACGTTTACACCCACTCGATAAGGAGGATCCTGAAAAGGTGGCTATAATCGATAGCATCTCAGTCCAACCATGGAAGGTAGTATTGACTTCAGGAGCTAAATACACATTTGGGACTACTCAGAAGGATACACAGCCATGGTGAGTCTTCTCAGTTAATAAACAAAACTGTTTTTCTGGTAATGTTTTCATAGGTGCATAAACAATCGGACGGTTGCATTTTAAAAGTAAAACTTTATTACTGAGAGAGAGAGGCCAGTCACGTTCCAAGATATTTAAGCAGAGTCACACAGCTCCAGGTTATGGCCAGTGGGTTTGAAGGCTCTGTCACACCATACATCGCAGGGGGAACCAGCCACGGAGTACGTGGCAGTGGGCAGGGAGACAGAGACAAGCCATCAGCAGAAAGACTTTTTTGATCGATTGCTTGGTTTTAACTTTGCAGACTTCCGCTCCAGACGCAATGAAGGAGGCATTCCCAATGTGCAATCAAAGGGTAGCAGCTCAGTTAAAAGCAAAAGTAAGGAAGTCAGAGTTTTGAAACCTCATTGATGCTACACCTAGGCCACAGAATTCAAACCCACACCACTGAGGAAATGTGGAAGGACCATTTCTACCAGCAAGGTTAGCTGGATTCTACCACATAGATGTGTACCAACATTTTGCGAAGACAAACAAACCTAAAATTGCAGGGCAAGCTGAACCAAGGCACGCAAAGGAGAAAGCACATCTTACGAGTAAAGGGGAGGAGCAAGGAAGATGTTTGCTGCAATAGTCCTGAGAACAGACTACAAACAGGCATGCCTCGCATACCTAATAGTATGACTGAGAGACAAGGCAACATATGATTTGCAGGGGTCTTGAGCAACACGCAGCTCTTTGAAGATGTTTACAAACCTGTCCAGAAGGTGACGGTACTTCTTGTTTATTCAGCTGCTTCTTTGCCCTGGGTTTTACGCTTGGTTTTCCCACCAGACTCTCAGTCAGGTCTGAACTAAGACCAAAGCTCGCTGGGTCATTACAGAGTTTCTCGTAGATCTCCAGCAAACAGTACGCATCTGAAGCTGAAAATAAGGGAATATGAGCCTCAGCTGGTTTCATTCAAAAGTAAAACAGAGGCTTTCCTGACGCAAGGAAGAGGCCTCACCTTTATAAATGCCACTGAACGCAAACAACCTGTGAAGCTCAAACTTACTAATGTCATACCCCACACTCTTATTGATTCAGCGAGCATGATAACGTACACACGATCATGAGTCAAGGCAGAAAAGCAACAGGCCCTCTGCCATCTCTAACGTAATGCAAATTGTAGTGCACCTCTTCAAACCACCATGTAAGACAGCTTCAGCCAACCCATGTTACGCTCCATTGTTACTGAGCAGCGGCTTGCCCACGGTTTATTACCGCATCTCAGCTATGGGAAGCCATTAGATGTAGTATCTTAAAAGTAATAACCAAGTTGTTTGCAATCACCGGCCCACACGAACTGCCATGCGGCCTCTGTTCCTTGCAACGGGAACTGTCTAAGTCTCCAAGCCAGTTTTACAAGTCCTAGTGATTAACTTTTGTGGGAACTGTGTCAGCTTCAAGGATAGCTGGATTTAACAAAGGGCTGGATCGCTCCAGTAGACTGTCCTTTGATGCCCCAGGAAAGGCTTCAGACCCAGACTTCTGACTCTGGGGTAAGCAGCAATAAACCCCACTGGTCCCTCCACAGTCCCAGTGCTGTGCTGCAGTCTCTGACACCATGCCTACCCATTAATAACCCTGCTCCAACAAGCACTTCCCTATGACACCGAACACAGCACTCGCTTCCCAGAAAGGCTGTGAAATGAGGCAGAAGGAAGTGGACCTTCTTCCTTTCAGTTACTGAGAGGAGTTTCCACTGAGATGATGTTTCGTCAGACAAAACCTGCAAAGCGCAGGAATTCTTTTACAAGGGAAATAGTGAATCACTGGACAGTTTAAACTTCAACCATTAAAGCCATGTCCACGAAAGGACAAACATAACATGTGCTGGCTTCTCTGAACAGGAATTAATCTGCAAAGCCATTTTCTTCATTTGCTACTTAAACTTCCTGGTGACAGACAACAGACAAACACAGCCTGTGGTGGACAATCTGTAGCACCTTGCCACAGAGTCAGTGACCAGACCTGCATAGAGGATCTGTTCCTCCCGGAGAGGCCGCTTCTCCCAGTTAGACAGCTGCTCTGTTTTATCTAGAGGTTTCCCCAGCACGTGTTGCACCAAGAGGCTGAGTCCTTTCTCCGGCTGCCTGAACCCTCTATCCTCATAGCTCTGCTCCAGGGACAGGACATCGACCTTCCGGCCGCCCTTCTTCCAGTCAATGGAGCTCTTTTGCAGCTGAGGGAAAGAAAAAGATATAAAACACATGGTTGTAAAACAACAACTACGACACCTTCTATTCCAGAGGGTGGGGCCACACGGCAACCCTATCATCTTTATCTCTTGCCTGGTGTACTGAATCCCGTTGTCTCAGCCAAGGGTTGGGATGGCATTAGATATATATGGTGTCTGGTTATTTGTTTAACAAACACACTTGCTGGAAAGAAATCTGTTTCATAGCCAGGGAAGGAAAAAAAGTGCATGGTCGTACAGCATTGCATCAGAGCAGTGGGGCTGTGAGTGACTGCTCAGAGGTCTGCAGGGTGCTCAGCCGTGCTGGAGGCTGTTGGGCACCAACTCAAGAAAAGACCAGCAGCAGTAGTTCAGCACCTTTCTCCTCCTGGTTCCAGTGAGAAAAGATTATTCCTGCAACACAGTGGGCAACAGCCTTTCTGCAGTTGCCATTTCTTGGATTAAACTGAGGCAATAGCTGTTGGCAGGTACTTCAGACCCTGCAGCACTTCCCAGGTTAAGCTATCAGTCCCAAAGATCTGGGTTCACCCCAACCGACAGCCTTAAACATACTCTGCAAATTTTTCCCATGAAAATGTTGTCCTTAACATTTCTGCAGACTGCTAAAAACTGCGGGCTAACCCAGAGACAGCTGTGCTTCAGCTGAACAGAAATTCCTGTGCTGAATCCAGCAGCAGCCCTCCTGAAACATTACGAGTTCTCTACAAATCATTAACTCCATAATATCTGCTTCAATACTGCATGATCATGGAATATCAGCGTTTCTACAAGAACTTACTCTTACCAAGTTCAAGCATGACCAGTGCTCAGAAACATCATCCTATCTGAATGAAGCTACATCTCCATTTCAATTGCTTTTTCATAGCTTTTGTAAAGGCTATGAAAAAAGTTATTAGTATATCTATTTTTTAGTTGATAAAAACTAAATGCTTCTGTCTTTCTTTACAGAACCATGTTGCCCTCGACACCACAAGTGGAAAACGTCTATTTGCTCATTTAGCCATCTCCCTGCCAATACAGGATACAAAAAGACAATGCTGTGAAGTCACAACAGTTATCTACGAGCACACGCAGGAGACACGATTTTCTGTATCTTCATGTGTTCATCCTTACTTGTTTGTCTACTCTGAGCAGATCCACAACACCTTTCGCTTGCTTATCTGTGTCTTTCAAAGCAGACCACGTGGCTGCAAGGCTCTTAAGGTCTCCAGACATCCCATAACCTCGAGAAAGAAAAACAAAAAACCCAAATTACACAGGCAGGAAAACTCAAATCATGGCTAATGCACTGTAGCTTTTTCTAGTTCAGGGGCAAGACGCTGACAATGTCTATATAAACGTTGGTGGGCAGACTGTTCAGATAGGGGACAAGGCAGATCTCTCTCTCCCGTTCCCAAGAGATACTCTTGCAGATCCAGACTGGGAGAGAAGAGGTAGATGAAAAATGCTGAGTTTAAGCTCAGCTTACTTAAAATCTGCTGGGTCAGTGAAAGGCAATTATGAATTTGCCCTTGAACTTCAGGTTTAACAACCCCTGCCAAAAGCCTCCAAACAGAATCTAAACCTGGGTATGTTAAGCTGGAGAGCTCTGGAGTCCAGCAGAGCGGCTTTGGGACAGGGCCAGCAAATCCAGAGAGCTCTGCATGACGGGCTTCCCTAGACCTCTCAAGGCTGGGTGCAAACTGGGGTTTGGTATGGAACTAAGACAATCCCAAGTCTGAGGGGGGAGGCTAAATCAGAAATCTTGGGTCTGGCCTGAAATGGGGAGGCATTTCTATCAGTCCCCATTCCACCAGTCACCCTGCTTCCTGGCATCTGAATACCCAGGGCTACAAAAGCTGGTACCATGATAAGTGGATTGAGAGAATGCCAACCCCAAGAGGACCTAGGAATTACACAAACTAAGCTGTGTAAAGACCCGAGGTAGGAAGAAGAGATGCACGTTACCTAGTTTAGTGATGGCTGCATCTGAATAGAGCATCTGGATGAAATGGGGAAGCTTCTCCTTCTCACCCTCAGTCTCAGCTTGCTCAAGGAGCCGTGGCAAGTCAAGCAGGAACACCTCATCCTTCAGAGCGATCTGAAGGAGGGAGACACGGGGCTTCCCGACCATGCCGAAGGAAGGCCTCCACTCCATGTCAATGCCAACAACCTGCCCAGGCTGCAACACAGACAAAAGCCTTCTTCACTTAGAGACTGTCTGCACTCGAAAGTAGCGTGGACAGTCCCAGAACTATTTCCTTCCCACCTCTTTGCTACTGTGCAAACTACTACAGAGACGAGTAGCTTTCACAGCACACCTGAGTTACTCCTGCAGGGACCCTTCCTTGCGCAGCAATTCCCACCGTGTTCCCCAATGAGACAACCCTAAGGAAGGAGCTGTCCCTGATGTGGGGACACATTTGATGGCAGTGGCCCACACACAACCCTGCGTACCACCCTGCTATGAAGTTTCTGCTCCTTGACCCTGCAAAGTAAATACTGGAGGAACACTCACCTGCAGCACCTTTTCCCAGCACTGCAGCGTCTCTTCCCAGGTCTGCAGGAAGTGAATATTTGCCCGTGGAATAGGAAGCTGGTAATAATTCTTCTTCTTACTCTCATCATCACTGTCTGCTTTTGCAGCTTCTTCTACCCTGCACAGAACCAGATGCAACAGCTTTAAGCGATGCAATGAGAAGAAATCCTGGACTGGAGGAACATCAGGAAGTCTTGCACGCCTTATTTCACCCTGGCCCTCTATGTCCCCATGCCACTCAACTCCTTCTCTTACCCTCCCTTTCCTCACTTTCCCTGCAATCTCAGTCCTTTTCATCTTGATCCATCCTCTCTTTTTATTCCTATCACAGAAATCACGCTGTATCTGAGACCTCACCACGCTCATGCTCTGAACCCGCTGCAGAGAACACCCAAACCAAAACACTTGCTGGAGTTAAGAGTCCCAGGCCCTGTCCTCAGTGCTCAGCTCCCTTTCCCAGAACTGATACAACTTGGATGACAAAGTTGGGCAGCTGTTTCCACATTCGGAGATAACGCACTTTAGATTTACTGCTTTTTGCCTTCGAGGTTAACATGGAAGTCTGCTGGCTCCCACGGTGTAATACGTAACAGGGAAGTTGGCTCTGACCAGCACTGTGTCCAAACAGGAGCTTCACACAGGAACTGGTTCAGAAAGGGACTCTCAGACTGCTCCACACTAAGATCACTACCAGCCGGGACCGGGTGAACTGCCTCATTATTTTATAGTGCAATGGCTTGGGAAGGGTTCATGGACCTCCCTGTTGCTATCCAGCTTCTCCTCCAGCCCCTTCCCTGCAAAATGCCCACATGGGTTGCGCAAGAACATTTGTGCTACATTGCACAGGGATGAAACGAGAAAAGTTCAGAAATAAAGTTTCAAAATCTTCTATATCGAAGGGAAGACAGCCAGCTGAATCCACAGACCGAGTGCCTTGCTTGTGCTACGCCTTCCATTTGGGTTTCAGATGGCACCACACAGAGAAATTCAGTGTCTGTGTATTAATACCCTGGGAATGTTGGAAGATGCCTGCAGAAATGAGCTAGCTGATTTCCTACAACAGGATCTTACACAGCACATTTTCTTTTCAAACTGCAGCAGAGTCTCTTGAAATGGCCTCGTAACTGGAAGGTCAGCATATTGCTCTGCTGCCTCAGCCAGATGATGCAATCAGAGGAAAGAAACTAATAAAAAATATCCAGCTATTTTGGACATCTCACAAATTTCTGGATAGTCTCTTTCCCATAGAGACTTCAACTGGTTTATTATTTCAGAAAATATTTACTAACCTTATGTTTAGGGGACTGTGTGACTAATTTTGTAGCACAGCAGCTTTCACTGTACAAACACTCTTTTCCGTGGGTTTGTGTGCATGGAGAAGTCAATATTTGTGTAAAATATTTAATGAAGGTGTGCAGTCTCAGGTCTCCAGGAATATTCTCACCTGCAGTGTTCAGGAGCCGCATGTGGTATGACCAGTGGCAGAGGTGATGTCATTTTTATGCTGGTACCACCTTGTTCTCTACAGTGTGAACACCCTCTCTGGGAATCTGCTGCTTTGTTGGCTCAATAAATAAGGCAGACAGACTGTTTTATTAGGTTCTATGGCTCCACTGATTTTATAGCAGCTACTGCAGCAGGTATCATGACTGGATGAGTAAACTGGGGCACAAAGGGTTTTACTCATCTGTCACAACTCCTCACGAATGGCAGAGCACATCCTAATGGGCTTGCCTTCACTCCACCCGTATATGACACGGGATTCCCAGAGCAGAGGGATGTAGTGATGTGGTTTATCCTTCTAGATGCACAGAGTCTGTGGCAAAGTCACACTCCTGTTAACCACCTCTTTGTGTTTTGAGGGATTACACCTCATGCAAAAACCTTCTGGCTCCCAACTGGCGGCTGGTGCAGCTTCAGGAGGGAGGAGGAGAGCAGCTCCAGCAATGCATCAGAGCTAAGCAGAAGCATGTCCTGGACAGACAAGAGTTTCCTGTGCTCCAAGAAATCCATGTACCATCTGGAGAAGTGGGCCATTGCAGACAGTGTTTTGAGGGTGATTACATCTGCATCATATTTCCTGAGGTTACAGGGGGCTTGAACACAAACCAGAGCAGATCTGCACTAGGAAGAAGATCAGATCCATGAAGCTCAGCACATGAACTGTTCAAGGCCATCTGTGAGACTCTTCCCAAATCATCAGCGTTAAAAAATACTAATACTCTGTGTTCTCATTCACCTTCTATGTAATTTAAGTTAGCCCAATCTATGCTCCCAAAATACAGTTTTTAGTTATGAAAGCTGCAGGTTTCGCATAAACACCTCTTCCAGGAGATGGAAATTTGCTGTAATGTTGAATACAACAAACTTGATGATAAACCTGTTAGAGCAGGTAACCTTGCTCAGTCTCAGGCTTGGTCTTCTTAAAATGGTCTCCGCATCCACTAGCGAGGTGTCAGCATCACCAGGCAGCCAGGGACAGATCCTGACTGAGCTGGAGTTCATAATTCTGACACACGACACCAGCAGAAAGTCCTGCACTAAGAACAGAAGGTAAAAGGAAGCACCCAAACCATCTGCACAAACTGCATGTTCTGCAGTAACAGGAGAAAGTCCCAGACCAGGTGAGGTAGCAGATGAGCATGGGCATGCAGACTCGTGCAACAGCCATGCCAAGAGGGACCCTGCCTCCGCTTCTCACACCAAGAGCACGGCGTTGAAAGTGTCCAGCTTGCTCCGCTGGGAGCAGCAATCATCGACTTTCTGCTGGCTTTATTCCTCCCCAAACAGACAATGTATGATGTCATCATCAATCCTCCTGGACACACAGTCCATTTCAAGTCAGATTCAGATTCCATCATACACACTGAGAAGTTCAGCTCCATATAGGAAGTTACTCCCTATGTAACTATGTTTGCAGGATGCTAAAGGTACAGGCTATCAGCTTGCACAATGTTGTAAATAGTTACCTCCCGGGAGTGGTCAAGATTTTCCCACAAACTTTCCTCTAATCTCACCCGGCTTCTGAACTAGAAGCACCAATCTCCATGCTAAAAGAAACCCCAACACATTTCACTGGTGAGGGTCAGAGAGAGACATCAGGCCCGTCAAGCGCAACACCGTGGAAGAAGGTGACTGATGTGTTCAGAAATGGAAGACTCCTAAGGGAACCAAAAATTATCACGGCTTCCTCTTTCTGTTTTTGAAAAAGCCTGGACTCTGCCTGGAAACATGCGATTGCTCCTCGAATGGCAGCAAGGCTTTGAGCTCTGCTGCACTCCAACTCACAGCCCAGAGCTCTCCTGCATTTGCATTGAGCATTCAGGGATAAGTCCTCTTCTGGGCACAGAATCCAATTAGATGAATTCCTGCACATGAATGAGCGGAAAAAATGCTGCTTGATTGCAGCAGGCCAGCAAGGTGACTGTGGAATTACTCTGAACCCCAGGACTGTGGCAGCCTGCAGCCTTGCAGGAGTTCAGCTCACGAACATACGTGGGCACAGAGGCTCCCGGGCTGCGTGTTGATGATACCAGCCAGACCTCATCCAGCCCTGGCTTCTCCATCTCCCTTACGGTCATAGGTGAGATCCCAACAGGACTCTCATGCAGTATCATCTGCAAGCTCTGCAGTCCCTCACGACTTGCAGTAGCTTGCATATGTGCAGGCCTTCCTGCAGGAAAAAAGAGTTTAAGAAAGGGTGCCAAGCACAGCTACCTCTGAATAACTTGCAACATCTCGTGGGCAGAGTCACTGAAGCAAAGCAGATATACGCCATCACTCACATGAGCATAAAAGTGAATTACGGGGGCTCACCAAATCATTTGCATGGAGCCATTTTTCCAAACGCAGCCTTTCCTCCTCCATACGGCACAGCTGAGCAACAGCCTGGGATACTGTTGCATGAAGAGGACGAGCTTGGGCCATTTCCTCAAAGAGACACAGCACAGAAACCCAGAACCAGAAGTACAAAGCCCTGGTACTCCTCCAGACCTAGCTTGCTGTGGGGATCAGACAGCTCCTAACAGTTTAAGGTGGCTGTACGTGCCTTCCTAAATTTTGAACCTCTTTTCAGCTTTGCACAGCTTTGTCTACACACAGCATGGGTCCCAGCCACCCTCTTCCCTCCATCCTTCCCCTCTGCTCCTACACCAGCAGGTTCACCAAGATCTTTGACTGGGGCTGTTTGCAGAGTTCTGTGCACTTGAAATCAAGGAGTTGTAAGAACTCTTCTTTATATAAGGATTTTTAAATTTTTTTTTTTTTTTAATCTCTGCCTTTGTACTCTTTTTTCAAGTCATGCAACAGGATGAAGCTCCCATTGGGGGAGGAGCTGTGGCTACTGTAGGCTAATCTGCTCCACACCACTGGGGGGTCCCAGAGCAGGAGAGCACTGTGCTATGGGGAGTGCATTACAGGAAGAAAAGGGGACAGAGACTAATTAGGGGGCTAAAGGCTTCTTAAGCTCACTGGGTAAATGTGAGCTAGAGAGTCCGGTTTTATCCCAAATTCGATTAATGCCACTGTTCTGGGATCTGACCCCAAATGTCAAAAATTCCCATTACTTCTGAAAGTTTTGGATGAGGCAAAAATTACAGACTGGGATGAAAACTGGCTTATGAGCTGTCAAAGGCAGAAAGAAAATCAATGCAATTAGAAAATTATAAGGAACTTTAAAATTATTTTCTTCGTCATAAGTCTCCCAAAAGGCATGGAACCAGATTACAGTGCAGTGGGGGACGCAGAGTATATAGAAAACTTTGACAGACATGTAATCAACTCAGTAAAATAGACACATATTCAGATCCTACCCACATTGTTTCATTTGCGCTGTTGATCTGGCAGAGGGAGCCTGAAGACCCCTCTGCAGCATGAAGCAACCTCGTACAGCTTCAAAGTACTCCGGAGTCAGTTTAAAATGTACCTTTCACAGACATTTCCACGTTTATGAAAAGCAAATGCAGCATGTACATGGCCAAGATGTGATCTGAGTAAATGGAGGAAGTTTTTGCAAAATTATCTCCCCAAGGAAGCATTATGGCAGATTATTTTAAGCAAATATGTAGTCCTTGTATGATAAGTAATCTACATGGAAAAGGCATGAAACAGAGTATTTACCTCTCTTGCATCTGAAGCTTTTGAAGCTCATCAGCCACTCCGTAAGGCAGCAGCTCCTTGGGCAAATTGCAGCGTTGCGCCCATCTTGCGGCCGTGTTCAAATCGCAGTAACTGATCAGCAACTGTATCAGGTGCCCTTGAAGCCACCGGTTCTCTCCAACGGTGCTCTGCAAGGAATGAAGGGTGAAGGACAGCTGTCAGTGCAACTTCCACCACGGGTGCTTCTAACCCATCTAAGGAGACGGAATCCTCCAGAGGGTCCTGGACAAGTGCAGAAAGGAGCAAGAATCTCCCCGCTGCAGGGGTGATTTTGTCCAAACCCAGCGAGGGCTGCCCTCCCCTGCCAAGAGATGAAGAGCGCATACGTCAACTCATCGGGGTACTTGGGTCCCCTTCACAGCATGGCTATTTGTTCAGGGAATATCACTTCCCAGGTGCAGCACAGAAGCAAGGGTAAAACAATGTCTTTTAGCTTGACTGATGACTAGCATATTATTTGCTCAGATACTGATTAACTAAAATCAGAACCAGCAACTGACCAGACAGTAAAGGTCTTTGGGCTTGTTAGGCAGGTAATTATGGAAGGGCTAAGAGTTTGGATTGTTTTAGTCCCATTTTGTGCCTGCACAGGGCCCTGAAGTGATGCTGTGACTTGATGTCCTGGGAGAGCAAGAGGATGGCTTGGTCTCCAGGTAAAACAGTAGCACAGGGTCTCCTCTAGCCTTGGGAGGATTTGCGTGGGCAACTAGGATTGCCAGTCACCCAGGGCTTACAGGTAGGACACACCAGCAAAGCTTTCCTGAGTGACCCTGATGTTCACAGAAAGGAAAAGGCTTGCTCATCAGCCTACATCTGCACCTCGCTGCGAAAACGGGGGCACCAGCTCCCTCCTCTAGCAACACGCAACAGCACACTGTGGGACAGACGTCCTGTGCAGCCAGCACGGATCCAGCCGGCACTGCGGATGGGGGCCTGGCTGTGAGTGGTGTCATCTGCATCTGAAATAGGTTGTACGAACTGTGCTCTGAAAGTCCTGCTTTATCCCCACAGCTGAACTAGGGTTGGGTGCAAGAAATTCCTCCCTTTGTGTCTACCCAAGGCCTCTGTGGACGTGACAACCAGATTGTTCCTTCAAGCCGTACGGAGAAACACAGCGATCTCAAGCATCGCGGTAGGAGCCCTGCGTGCACCTGCAAACTGGGAGGGCAGTTTGGGACGTTTCCTGTTCCCAGCTGTTTCCTGGCAGAAGCGAAGGTGCGCCCGTGCCTGGGCACACTGCAGAGCCTGGGGGCACAGGCACAGCCTCACGGCTGCCGGTGGTTTAAGCCCAAATACCCTGCCGTGAGCCAGAGGGGCTGGAGCCCGGCACGGTGCCCCCCCTTGGCGGGGGGGGGCAAGCCATTGGCGGGGCAGGGCAGACAAACGGGGCCCATAACCGTGCCCCCTGTGACAGCTGGATTCACCAAAGCTCTTTCATCCTGTTCCCCTCCTGGCCGATGCCCTCTGAGGCACCGTGGCACAGCAGCTGTCAGAGGGGACCCGGTGACACCGACAGTCACGACAGCTACGCAGGGGTGGGAATGACCCTCTCCTCCTGCCCAGTGCTTGCAAACATCCCAGAGCCGCTGCAGCCAGATCAGCAACTCGCTCCTCTTGCCAGACTGATTTACTCATGGATCTGCCTTAGAAGTTACTATTGTCAAGAAAACTTAATTGCTAAAACAAGTTGAAACTCTACATGGTGGGTCAGGACCTGTAGCTCTACGTTGGCACTACCAACAAGTATTTTTCAGCGCAGTGAAATGCTCAGATATACACTCAAAGTCCATCCCACCCCCCGCGCAAGCC